GGCATTGTGGCAGGAACTTGAATATGGTTTTCTCTCATACTGGGGTAGGAACTTGGAGATGCCTTTCTCTGTCAGGGGTCTTTGTTCCTGTGCTGGGACCTCTCCTGTCACAAAGCTGAATGGGGCCATATCTGAGTTTCCATAGTGTGGTCCACACTGTTCATTCTGCCCTGGTGATTCAAAGGCCTGGCCCCATCCAATTTGCAGCCAACCCAAACTGTTTGCAATAGCATTTCCATATGAATGGCATGTCCTGGCTCAGGCTCCAGACTTTCCAAAAAATTTCTTAAAGGAGAAGCAGCTGGCATCAACGTGCCCTAAATATACCAGTAAAAGGCTAAGACTAGGCAATAGCACCAGCCTGCCTTGCTTCACAGTTGGACCTCACCTAGGCACTTTCAAGCTTAATATAAATAGCAGCCAGCTGCAGATCTCTCTGTAGCTCTTGCCTGGTGTTCCCAGGTAGTGGCTGACTTGGCATATCTTGGGAGACCCCAGAGCCAGTGCACTGGATGGACAGCTTTAGACCACACCAGATTACAACTCTACACATCCACATGCAATACACCTAAGGGACAGATTTAGTGAGCACCAAAGCTCCACTGAAGCAGGTCCTGCTCCATAGGGGTATCTCTGCAAAGCAGCTCTTCCACCTTAGTCACAGCTGGTCCTCACAACCAACTGGCCTGGATGACAATTCCTCCCAGTGTTGCCAACAGCAATCAAGACTCAAGTACAATAAGACTGTGCATACAGCCTACACAGGGGTGCACCTAGAGTGACCATTTCAGCTGACTGGGCAGCCTGAGCCAATGGACTCTATAGGACACCTGATACACAAGGCCACTCTAACAAATCCATGAAACATAGCAGCTCTACCTAATACATAAAAACAAACCCAGGGAAGCAGCCAAAATAAGGAGACAAAGAACTATGCCACAAATGAAAGAAATGGAAGCAAGCAAACTACTGGACACAGAGTTCAAAACAATAGTTATACGGTTACTCAAGGATATTAATAAAAGCTTTAAGGGACTCAGTGAGACTTTCAAGATCTTAGTGAGAATTTCAAAGACATGAAAAAGGACCAGTCAAAAGTTAAGCATACACTAACTGAAATGAAGAATAATTTACAGGGATTAAACAGTAGAGGATATCGATAATCAAATAAAGGATTTGGAATATGAAGAAGCAAAAACACTCAATCAGAAGAGCAAAAAGAAAAAAAAATGAAGACAGTGTAAGGAGCCTCTGGGACAATTTCAAGCATACCAACATTCATGTTATGGGGGTGCCAGAAGGAGAAGAGAGAGAACAAGATATTGAAAATCTATTTGAAAAAATGACAGAAAACTTGCCCTACCTGGTGAAAGAAATAAGACTTAAAAGTTTAGGAAGCACAGAGAGTCCCCACACAAGAGGAACCCAAAGAGGCCCACACCAAGACACATCATAATTAAAATGCCAAGTGCTAAAGACAAAGAGAATCTTAAAAGCAGCAAGAAAAAAGCAGTTAGGGCAAATTCATACAACTGTCAGCTGGTTTCTCAACAGAAACTTTGTAGGCCAGATAGGAGTGTTAAGAAATATTCAAAGTGATGAATAGCAAGGACCTATAACTGAAATTACTCTACCCAGCAAAGTTATCATTTAGAATTAAAGGTCAGATAAAGAGCTTCACAGACAAGAATTAGATAAAGGTATTCATCACCACCAAACCAGTATTACATGAAATGTTGAAGGGTATTCTTTAGGAAGGGAAAGAGGAAGAAGAGGATGAAAAAGAAAAAATATGAACAATAATATGGCAATGAATACATATCTATCAACAATAGAATCTAAAAATCAGAATAAAGGAACAAAGAATCTATTGAACAAAATAAAATAGTGAATAAAATAGAATCAGAGGCATGGAAACATGGAACACACTGACAAATCTCAGAGGAAAGGGGGGAGTGGAGGTGGGAAGAGACTAACCAAAGAGCTTATACTAGTATGTATATAGGCATTACCTATGGATACAGACAATAGAGTGGTGAAGACCCAGGGTGGGGCAGAAACTGGATGGAGGAGGGCAATGGGGGAAAAAAAGAGGCACATTGTAATACTCTCAACAATAAAGATTTTTTTTTTTTAAAAGAAGTAAGTTCAGAAATAATGGTAAGATAGACTTCAAATCTGTGATGCTCCTTGTCTTGCTCCACTTACAGATGCTCACAAGCAATAAAGAAGTAACTCACTGAACACGATAATGAAGAATAAAAAAGCAAGTGTCAAAAAAAAGTGATATTAACAAGAAATTATCATTTAGGCTTTACTTGGGCACACTGAAAGATATCCATGTTCTAACTAGAGTCTAAACTGGAGTATGAACCAAAATCCTATTTACATTTAAAAATCTAAATCTAGTAAAGACTCAAAAGAAAAAAAAATACTCTATCAACTTTAACAATGTCTCCTAGTCATCTAGAAGAAAATGTATTACTATACACTCTCTAATCCTAAGATTTCTGATCCTGAAGTTTCAAGTCTATATCCAACTACCTATTTGACATTCTACCTAGAGGTCTACTAAGCATCTGCAACTGGACATCTCCAAAATGGAATTCTTGATTTCCACCTCTCACTCAACCTTTTTCCTCCCTTGTTCTTTCTCACCTTCACCAATGGATTAGGCATCCACACAACTATTGTAGTCCCAAAGCTGGTGGTCTTCCTTGAGTCATTTTCTCCTTACTGCTTCCAGTCCGTGGGCCCAATCTGATCTATTAACAAGTTCTATCAGCTCTACCTTCAGAATGTGTCTCAAGTCCAACATTCTCACACTCCCACCTCTGTCATGCTGGTGCTTATAACTGGTTTCAACTGGTCACTCTACTTCTATTTATGCCTCTCTAGGAAATTCCTTTTTTATTTACAGTCAAAGTGATCTTTTAAAAATGTGACTGGATGTCTGACTTATTTGCTTAGCATGATATTCTCAAGATCCATCCATATTGTTGCAAATGGCAGTATTTCATTTTTTTCTTATGGCTGAGTAGTAGTCCGTTGTATATATGTATCATATTTTTACCCTATCATAAACATGCTAAGTAAAACAACTCAGACAGAAAAAGTAAAGAAATATATCTGGGATATAAAACTGAGAGCAAGACATGAACAAACGAGTAAAACAAACAGAAACTCATAGGCACGGGCAATAGTATAGTGATTACCAGAGGGAAGGGGCTGGTGGGATAGTGAAAGATAAAAGGGTCAAATACATGGTGACAGAAAAAGACTGGACTTTGGGTGGCAAATGCATAATACAACAAACAGATGATGTATCACAAAAATGTACTCTTGAGACCTATATAATTTTATTAACCAATGTCACCCCAATAAATTTAATTTTTTTTTAAATTGAAAAAACAACAGTGAATGAATGATAAATGAATGAACATGCCTCCCTTGCATAAAAACTTTGTATAGCTTCTTAATGCACTGGAAAGAAAATGTGAACTGTTCACTTGGTCTCTAAGACCGTATAATGTGTCATGCTCCTTTACCTACCCTTTCACTCCACCCGCTAATCCCCCCTTTCCCTGGGAGACAATCAGCTGAACTTCTCTCTCTTCCAAGTCTGATTTTGTCTCAGGACCTTGTGAATATTTCTCCCTCAGAGAGTCTGAAACCCTTTCCTCTAGGTCTTTGTACAGATGGCTCCTTCTTGTTACCTTGCCACATTTTCTCTGCCCACACTATCTAAAAAACAAGCAAACACAAAACTACTTTCTCATCCACCTCAGCCATTCCCTGAACTGCCCAAAAGACAGCACTGGCCACAGGGAGGCGCTGGAGCACTGGGAACATGATTAGTCCTACATTCAATGTGATGTGAGTGTAAAATCTGCAAATTGCAAAGGCTTGGGACAAAAAAATACAAAATGTCTCATTTATAATGTTTATGTTAATTACATGTTGAAATAATATTTTGGTTATACTAGATTAAAATATGTGTTATAATTTACACAATTATAAATTATATTCTTTTTTCAAATGTGACTTTTAGAAAATTTAAAGTACCTATTTGGGTCACATGTAGCTCACTTTATATTTCTATTGGATAGCATTGCTCAATTCCATTTTGCCATTTTATTGTTTTAGCTGCTCTTATCTGAAATCTTTTTTTTTTTTTTTTTCTCATTGGCTATTTTTTCCCCTTAGAATATAATTCCAGGAGAGTAGGGACATTTGGTGTTTTTCCATTGCTATAGCCCAACTTTTAGAACATTACCTGGCACAAAGAAGGAACTCAATAAATATTTATTAAATGAATGAATCAACAAGTAAAGGCTCCCTAGTCTTTTCCTCCTGACATTTTCAAATGTGTAGTAACAGCAGTTATCAAATACTCAGAATATTCTACCCTGCAGGAGAAGGAATAAGAGGCCAGTATTTTCATGAATTGTTATTTTAACTTACTCTCTCTTATTGGCTTTTAAGATCTTGAAGGAAGGGACCATCATACCTGAATATCTATACTACCTTCTTGATCAGCAGAGCACTTTAGTAAAAACATCAGTGACAATAAAATCACCCTAATCACAAGGCTATCACATTTTGAATTCTTATTATGTAGCAGGCATTGTATTAATGATATCATTTATAAAATCTATAAGTTAGAAATTCTTATTTCCATTTTTTAAGATGAGGAAACTGAGGGTTAGTAAATGTAATTAACTGTCTTAAGATCAACTATCCATCTGGTACAGACATTCAAATTCAGGTCATTCTGATATCACAAGCCTTGCGAACTCTGAATCACAGTGTTCACAATACAACCTGTGCTAAAAAAACTGCAGAGTAGCTGAATAACACTATAAATCACTTCCGGTGTAAAAAAAAGAACAACACTGATGATAATAAAAATTTATGGTGATAGTTTCCAGAAAAAAGCAAGTGATTTATGACCCACGGTGGGTTTCAATCTTGGCGTCTTGTGGGTGGCCAAGTCATACCTGACTTCCAGATGCAGCACCAGCAGGCAGCGGTCGGCCATGTCCTGGAAAGATCTGGCTAGCTCACTCAGGGTCTGCATGATCTGCTCCGACACCGGGGGCGGATCCATGTTCGTATGACCATCTTGAGCAGGAGAAAGCACTGGAGAAAGGGAGAGAGGACAAAACACCAATCATTTCACTACATGCCTACTGGGTTTTGAAATGACATGTTATTTTGTTGTTCATAATGTTGTTTTTACCCATTTGGCTAATACCAGTGTTGGCGGCATTAGACATCCAGACAGAATAGACTATTTCCGTCCTTGATTAAACACAGAAGCCCAGATGATTGAATCTGTTTGCAGAATGACAAAAAACAGACCTTCAGAGTTGAAAGTGACCTCAGCAGTCATCTGGCCCAACCGCATGGTCTATGCTTGTGACATTTACAAATCTGCAGGTGGCTGTTCAGTTTTGGGTTTCACACTCACACAAATGTTTGTGAAAGGACACTTAACACCTTCTGAGGCAGCCGAGCCAGACTCTGAAAGATCTGACCATCCTACATTGAGTCATATCTGTCTGCCCTGATCCTGCCAACTTTGTAGTCATTCTTGTATGTGTCAGCACTTCAAATATTAAAGACATTGCCTTTGGCTTCCTTGCAGTCTTCCCTTTTCCAGGCTAAATGTCCTCTATTTTCAACTCTTCGTCAAATAAACGAATTGAATAATTTTACAGTTCTAATACTTCACCAATAAAAATATCCTCGTTATTCTGTATCTCCCTTGAAATGTGGAATGCAGGACCACACACAATAAATACTGCAGAGGGGAAAAAAACACAGAGGGGTCTGGCCTGCCTAGAGAGAGCTATCTACTCCTTCGTTCCAGATGCCATGATGCTTGCATGTAAGACTGTTCAAGGGGCGGGGCCATGATTTTATGTTCCACTTGAACTCATATAGAGCTCATAGTCAACTAAAAGTCCTACAAAGGTCTTTTGGAAATTTTTATAAAGCTAACTTCTATATCTTTCCTACATAATTGACACAATATTCAATAGCACTTGGATGTTGCCTTCAGACTGAGCAGCACAGCAGAAATGTGAACTGTATTTGTTTATGTCTATGTTTCTGTTAGTACCCAGTTTCCCACAATTTCTCAAAGGCTGCCAATGGTAATTTTGCAATTTCATTCAAGAGATCCTTTAGTTCTATAGAGTCTCAAAGACTGGCCCTGAGTCCTGTCCCCACTCCTTACTATGTGACCTCGAGGTAATTACTCAAATTCTGTCGCCCTGTTTCTTTTTCTATAAAATAAGATAATAGTACCTAGAGCATGAGGTTGTTGGGAGTATTGAACAGATTAATGTAGATAAAACTCTTTGACCAATAGCACATAAAACTCACTCAATATTAACATAAATAATAAACACAAATAATAAGTATGCATTAGCATTTGATTTGTCCAGATTAAGAAGCTTAATTATAGCAACAAGTTACTTAAAGATAATTCTATCCACCTTGAAGTCTAATTTCCATTTTTTGCTTTTCCATATGAAAATTCTTCTCCTTATTGGAGGATGCAATGTCCTTGGGATGTGGCCAGGCACTACTGACTAAACACCAGGAGGTGTGCACCTTGGAGGGTAGGGAGTCACCATCTAGCTGCAGCGACATCTACAGTTATGGGCTGTCAGGGCTGCATTGATGCCTAGACTTGGGCCAAGCCCAGAGAAGGGACCAGAGAGATAGTCAAGACTTATAAGGATAGTTCTTCCCTGTGCAACCAGACTTTTTCACAGCAAACAGGAAAAAAACTCTGTTAAAGAAACTGATGTGTAAGGAGGAAGGGAGTATAGCGACGTAGACTTAGAATCATTACCAACCTTGGCATCATCTAAGGTGAACAGAGCTCAATCTGCAGGAGGCTACATGTGAGGCAGCGCCACTCTTCGGTACCGTTAATATGATTTATGTTCTCTCATCTCCAGGAGAGAACACTGCCTTCAGGTCTTCATTTGGCAGGTGGGGTGAAAGCAACCACAAGTAACACTGATGGAATATTTCAAAGCATTTTAGGGCTTTTGAGCTCCTGGATTCTTCTGTTGTGTGACACTAACTGTGGCAGAGAGAGCAACTATAATATATATCCAAGAAAAGAGGTAGAAATCGGATCCGAAGAAATCGGACTCATGGTCTGAGGTTCAAAGTTATACAGTGGTTTCCCCTTATCAGCAGGGGACACGTTCCAAGACTCCCCAGTGGAGACCTACAACCGTGAATGTACCCTACATAGATCTCCCCCCCATACATATACTGGTACACCCTTTCACTTAAAAGAAGCGCTGTATAGCTTCTCTTTGGTATCCAAGTTAACAGCATCTTCCACTACTCTTGTGTTTGGGGGCTATTATTAAGTAAGATTAGGGTGACTGGACCCAAGAACTGTGACACCATGACAGTGGATCTGTAAGGGCTACTAAGTGACTAATAGGAGGGCAGCACATATATTTGCTGAACGAAGGGATGAGTCACATCCCAGGCAGGACAGAAATGAGTGGCTGAGATTTCATCATGCTACTCAGAACAGTGTGCACTTTAAAACTTACTAGTGTGAATTGTTTATTTCTGGAATTTTCGATTTAATACTTTTGGATTGCAGTTGCCTGTAGGTAATTGAAACCGTGAAAAGCAAAACCAGAGATAAGGGTGAATGGATTACTGTACTAATATCCCAAAGTCTATCAAAGGCATTCTGGACAAATTCCACCAAGAAAGTAAAAAAAACAACAACAACCCAACAATAATTGCTTTTTATAGAGATATATAACTTCATATGCGTAGGAATTGAACACTGCCAAACTGTGCCATTAAAAAAACAAAACAAGCAGCCAAGTTTAATAGTTAGAGCATTGGCCTAAGCATTGGAGGATCAAAGTTTGATCACCAGTCAAGGGGACATGCCTGGGTTGCAGGTTCGATCCCTACCCCTGATCAGGGGAGGAGGGGCATAGAAGAGGACACCAGTAATTTTGACTCTCCCACATCAATGTTTCTCTTTTTCTCCCTTTCCCTCTCCCCTCCCTTCCACTCTCTCTAAAAATCAATGAAACAAATATCCTGACTTCTTTGGTGAGGATTTAAAAACAAGAACAAAAAAGATAAGTACAGTAAGTTAATGGCAAGATAAAACTTGCAATGAGTGAGGTAAAAACAGTTTAGATAGCAGCACACTGCACATTCCGCTTGACTATAATCTATAGCAAAAAGATAACACTTTAGTGAAGCAACTTGAAAAATCATGGCTACAGATCTACTGAAAAGCTGGCCTGTGAATTCTTGAGGGCACACTGATGTTTACGAAGTTTCCTTAACAAGAAGGAGTACACTGAGCGAAGAAATGCTGAGAATGGCAAACAATGACAACACAAACAACCAACGAGCTCTTAAATGTCAAATGGAAATCTACAAAAAAGCAAGGCTGACAGAATCTGCTGTTTGAGAGATTATAGTCAAGATAGGTTACTACACACACACACACACACACACACACACACACACACACACACACCCTTTTAGAGGCTCCGTGGTTGTGTATTTATCTTGGGGATTGCTTCGTTTTGGCAGAACACATATTGTGGGCTTTAAAGCTATTAGTACTAGATCATTTTATGAAGATATGCACTTTGAGCTGTTTTTCCGATACTGGGGATGGGCCACATCAGATCATTCACAACATACTTGTTCCTCTTATAGCCTTTGCATAAAAGCAGGCATCTCTGAGACTCCTGGCATAGTATAGCTGGGCTTTCTATGCTGAATTGATTGGTTTATGAGGAAGCTAAATCTAGTCTCAGGGGCAAATCCTGCTTATTAGATAAACCAACAGATATTTCCAACTCTCCTTTGCTCATTCCACTAGAGACTCTAGCAATCTAGAAGTCTGCTTTCCCAGCCTAGCTTAGTAGCTAGAGGTGGCTATGTGTCACTGTATGGCCAATGATCTTCTAAGCAGATTTTTCTTTGGCAACTTGACCTAACTAGGGGCTAATTCTGCAACTCATCTGTTGACAGGGAAATGAAACATCGCTAAGCATTGATTATAGCCACTAAAATTTTCTGGGTTTTATGCTCAAAAGCGTCTTCAATACCACATGTCCATCCTGCCCTAGTGCTCGGCCAGCTCCTTCCCCCATTTCATGCTGCTCTCCCAGATTCTTTGTCCTTCCTACTCTCCATGACTCCTCTCTTGAGGACCTCAGATTCTTATTAAGACTTCAAAAAAAAAAATTGTCAGCACTTGCTTTCTCCATAGTCTTGCCTCCCATTAATTCTTCCACGTGCCAACCTGATTAGTGCCTTTGACTCTTTGTTAAATAATTATTCTGAGGATCATCAACAATGATAGTCTATTGCCAACTCCATTGGGCATTTCCCAGTATTAATCTCATTCAACACAGAAAGGCCATTTCCTCCTTGAAATTCTGTTTTCTTTTGCCTCATATGGCATTCTATTCCTCAGGGTATCCTTCCACAGTTCTGACACTCTTTTCATAGTTTCCTTCACCGGCTATTCTTCTTTAGCCCACCCATAAGTGCTGGTGTTCCCGAAGATTTTTTTTTCTATTGGTCACTCTTACGCTGCTCTCACTTGTCATTCTATCTGTTCTCTCTGAGCTCATCCATTTTCATGGTTTTTGCTATTATCTAAGAATTGATGACTCCTAAATTTTATTTGATCAACTGTTTGCCAGCTATCTTTACCAGTACATCCCACAGGCATCTCAAATGCAATGAGCTCAAAACTAAACTCATTATCCATCTCTACCATCTGCTCTTTATCCTGAAATTTCTATCAGTGGCATATCAACGTAGAAATCTCAGCTGCAAACATGAGAGTAATCGATTCTCTTCCCTCTCTCACTCCCCTCCACAAAGACTAATGTCTGCCCACTTTACTGCATGAACGTTTTCTTAATATAGTTTGTCTTTTCTCTATCTACTGTCATTTTCTTGGTTTAGCTCCATCTCTTCCATGGACTACTGGAAGAGTCTCCTAACTGATGTCTTTGCCTGTGCCTTGTCCCTACTTAATTCAATCCTCCATATTTGGTTAATTAAATATGGGTGAGACAGATTATTTATTTAAGACACAC